GATGTACGTTCATAACACAACCTGGTTGGAACCAAGACAGCTGCTGCTTGCTGTACTTACTGAAGTTTACGATGTTTGAATCTGCAGCCTTTTCAGCGTTTACCGAGCAGTAAAAGCATTCAGGGGTTCAGTGATGCACGTGCAACTTTGACATCTGTGAAGGCACCATTAATGCTGAATGATATAAATAGTTTTGGGGTATTTTAAAACAGAAAGGCCTCATCACTTCAGCAACATGTTTTACAACAGCGTGGCTCGATTTAACATACATACTAAATCTACTGTGCAGTGAGGCAAAGCGACACAAACAGCTGCAATCGACTCAGTCAACACTGCTTTAGGAAAATATGGAAGACAATTAGAGCATCTTAAAAAATGGGGTGTATATTCCCCCAAAATAAAAAGAAAGACATTTTAAATAGAAGTAAAACTTCGTATTTTTCTGTTTTTGAATTCTAAGTTTTTTCTCAGAAATTCAGAATTCTGACATTTTCAGAAAGAAGTCATAAGCCAGACTTTTTTTCTGAAAATAACCTTTTCTCCGACATTATTCTCAGAATTCTGACTTTCTGGGGCAAAAAAATCCCAAAGAATTCTGAGGTAAGAATTTTGACTTTTCTGTCAGAATTGTTAAAAACAAAACACACAAAAAAAATCTCAAGCACAGGCTTTTGTTCAGTGGCCCTAATCCTCTTCCGTACAAATCCCTATCAACTGGGATTCTCCTGATGCCAGTGATAAGCTTTTTTGATATCATTTGAGAGCAGCTGCATGGTTGTATGGAGCTGCATGGTTCAACTTTACATTTATGGAGACAAAAAAACCCAAAACAAAACGAGAAAGCTTGCAGAAAAGTGAGAGCTTCCCAATAAGTTATGAACATGTGTTAAAACTCTGTAACTTGATTCCAGCGTTCGTCGAGCGCGTCATCGTCCTGCTGGCTGTTGAAGGCAAAAAGAGTTTCCAAAGCGTGCGCTGTTATTCGTTTATTTGGTGACAACAAAAGCAGACATTAGCCCGAATTAACCCGCAAAACCTGAAAAGTGCAAATTATTTCGACTGACAGCGATCTTGCGTCCATCTTTAATATTCTCTACTTAATGGGCAGCCATGATGGTTGCTAGGAGATTTGTGATGCAACCGTAAAGCTTTGCTCGCTGGGCCTTACAACAGCAAACGCCCACAGCATCAGAGCTCGCGGTTGCTCCGCACCTACTATGCACGCGCATCTCGACTCTTTAAGCGCTCGTGTGCTTCGAGTTCCGACAAAGATGATGGCGTTGATCCTCTTGCGTAACCGTAGTATTTCCTTGATGCCCTGGCCAGACACTTGTGCTTCGTGTCAAGCACTGTGGAGCACCATGTCAAAAGGCACAAGGATTGGGCTCCCAGGCAGCAGTGTAAACCGTAATTGCCGCTGACAGCATGTTGGCAGAACACAGTGTATCCCGTTTCTCAGCTGGGACTAGACAAAAGACGCGGGGACAAAAGATGCGTCCCTTCATCAGCTCATGTTCGCTCTGCGCTGTCTTTGTCCTGCCACCAATTAAAACCGCAGCTTTTCTCATGTACTGAGACATCATCCTGCATAAATAGCATGTTTTAGGTGTT